TTAATTAGAATAGCTCTAATTAAAGCCACTCTAATTAAAGCACCTGGAGCATCTCGTCTATCAGTGTCCCTGTGCTTGAAAGTGGTGGTGAGGGCACTTTAGATAAAGCTTGTCAAATGAGCTTTAGTTAAAAGAGCCCCCGCCATCACTTTTAAGCATGGGGACACTGATACATGAGATCCTGGAGGGTGTTGGAGCACGGCAATTACCATGCTCCAGCAGAATAATTAATAGAGTCTCCTCCAGTGTGCTGTAATTACAGTGCATGAGAACAGCCTCACTGCTCATGTATAGATGCCCTTACATACTAAGGCCTGTTTTGCAGTCCTTGTGGCTTGTCTTGTTCTTGAACTTCCTCCAATTTATAAACCACCTTCTTTAATTGTAGATACCAGGACTAGATATGGTATTTCTGTGGCAGTTTTACCAGTAACTAATACAGAAGTAAAATTATCCACTTTCTGATATAAACACTTAATTTATAAATTCAAAGATTGTATTGACCCTTTAGCTAAAATATCAAACTGGAAATTTGTGTTTATCTGGTCATTTACCAGAACACCCCAGTTCTTTTCAGACTAAGCATTTCTCAGATGAAGTCCCACTTCAGATAATTATGACCTACATTACTTTTCTTATATGAAGAGACTTTACATGTTTCCATATTAAAATAAATATTGTTTGCTTGCACACAGCTCACTAAACAAGACAAATGGCTTGTTATTAGTCCTGACCTTTTTATTTACCACAAATTATTTTAGTCATCTACAAATTTTATCACTAATTCTTTTATGTTTTATTTCGACTCATTGGGTGGGCCTAACACCCGATCCCTAAATGACTCAATTTGAAACACCTGCATAGTGATGATTCCCTTACATTTTAAGACTTCTCACTTAGCTAGTTTCAACTCCATTTAATGTTTGCCATGGCAATTTTGTATCATTTCAGTTTGTATCACTGGATACGAAGTGTAATAGCACCAAAAATCTATCAGGTTAGTTTGACAACCTGTTTTTCAATAACTTGTCTCAGAATCATGGGAAAGTAGGGTGGAAGGAACCTCACAGGTTCATGAATAGAGTGTAAAAATCACTTCCTTTGATTTGCAAGTGATGCTCCAATTAATACAACCCAGTATGCCGTTGGCTGTTTTCGCAACAAGAGCATACTGTTGGCTCTTATTCAGATTATCTTCTATTCTATCCCCCAGGTCTGCAATACTTCAGCCTAGCCAATCATCCCCCATTCTGCATTTCTGCATGAAATTATTTCGTCCTAAGTGCAGAATTTTGCACTTGTCCTTGCTGAACCTCATTTGGATGACTGTGGTCCATTTCTCCAGTCTATCCAGGCAATTCAGGATCCTAGCCCTACACTGCCAACCTGGTGCCATCCACAAATTTGCTACAAAAGCACTCAATCCCATTGTTCAAATAATTATTGAAGATCTTAAATAATACCAGACCAAGGGCATGCCCCCCCTGGGGGAACCCACTTGATACTTCCTCCCAACTAGACACTCAGCTATTGATGACTACTCACTTGAGCATGAGGATCCAACTTGGTATATATCCACTGTACAGTACTTTCATCTAGTCTGTATTTCCTTACCTTGTTAATGAGAATGTTGTGAGAGACAGTGTTAAAACTGTCTAAAATCAAAGTTTATCACATCCACTGCTCTCTCCCCAACCACAGAACCCATCATCTTATGATAGAAGGAAGTTAGGTTGGTCTGGTATGACTTACTCTTGGTGAATCCATGCTCACTGTTTATGATCAACTTGCTCTCCATTAGATAACTTTACAGTAGACTCGTTGGGGAACTTCTCCATGATCTTTCCAAGTATATCAAGGTCAGGATGACTGGTCTATAATTCCTTCTTCCTTTTCTTAAAGATAGGCACTATATTTGCCCTTTTCCAATCCTCACCGGACCTCTAAGAGTTCTCAAAGATGGCCAATAGCTCTGAAATTACCTTAGCCAATTCCTTCAGTCCCTGGCTGTGCTGACTTGAAAGCATCTAACTTCTCTAAGTAATCCCTAACCTGTACTTCTATAACTATATGCTGTTTGACTCCTTCCCCATCTTTTCTGGCAATTACATTCAAAATCTGGTAGCTGTTCTTATTTGTGAAGACTGACTTAAAAGAGGCATTCAACACTTCAGCCTTCTCCACCACCCATGACTAGATTCTGCATTCTGTAAGGGATCTATGGTTTTGCTGGTCTTTCTGTTACTTTTGACAATCTTGTTGAATCCCTTTTTATTGCCTTTTACAACCTTTGCCAGTTGTACCTCTAATTGTGCCTTGACCTCCCTAATTCTCTTACTACATGCCTTTCACATTCTTCCCTAGCAATGCCCACGTTTCTGTCTTTTGCAAGATTTGTTTTTGAGTTTCAGCTCATTGAAGCTGACTGTCTATGACTGTCTAGCTAGGATGGTCATCTGTTGTACTTCCCATTCTTCTGTTGTATCATATAACTTGCTCTTACACCCTTAATAAAGCCATTTTAAAGCACATTCCACTCTCCTGGGCTTCTTCTCCCTGCAGACTTGCCTCCCAGGGTATCCTGCCTACCAGTTCCCTGAGATTGCTAAACTCTGTTTTTTTGAGGTCTAGTGTCTTTGTTTTGCTGTCTTCCCTCCTTCCTCCCCTTAGGAGAAAGTGCCAAATTTAGAGCCAATTAGTGCCACAGTTGATTTTCACGAATTATGTTACTCTTATTAAATTCTTTATTGATTCCTATACTAGCTATTACCTAAATTTTGGTAGGGGTGATATCAGGGTGATAAGCCAATAATTACCTGGGTGTCCTGTTTGCCTTTTTAAATATTTGTACAACATTAGCTTTCTTGTAATCTGATGGCACTTCCCCAGTGTTCTACCACTTACTGAAACTTAATATTCCATTCAGGTCCTTGGCCAGGGCTTTTAAAACTTATGGAAGACAGTCTTCCTAACTTCCTGATTTAAACATGCTTAACTTTAACATCCTTCTTAGCTATTATAAGAATGGCAAACATTCAATCATCACCCCAATAGGATTAAATTATCTGTCTTTTTCTCAGATATAGAACAATTTTTTATTGCACATGACTGGACCTCTTGTGCATTATTTTGATGCCTTCTCATGTCTGGAATAGACTAATATCATTCCTTAAATTCCTAATATATTA